TTTCTTTCTTTCTTTCTTTCTTTCTTTCTTTCTTTCTTTCTTTCTTTCTTTCTTTCCCCCTGATTTGTTTCCCTCTCTTTTCCCTCTCTCTCACTCTCCCTTCAGCTCTTTCATTTCTCTCTCCCCCTTCTCTCTCTAATTTGTTTCCCTCTTTTTTCCCTCTCTCTCATTCTCTCCTTCCAGCTCTCTTTCATTTCTCTCTATCTCTCTATCTCTCTCTTTCTCCCCTTTTCTCTTTCATCTCTTTCTTGCTCGTGGAAGCAAAATACCCTCCTGGGCGGGGATCACGGCGGCAGGGACAGCGACTCCTTCCGCTGCCGCCACTGAGAAGTGAGTAGCTGGCTGCGCTGCGCAGGAGAGCCATGCTGCGTAGGAGACTCCTCAGCGCCAGACTCAGGTCAGCACCAGCTGCAGTCCCCTTCGTGTTGGCTCAGGAAGGAGCCGCAGCAGCCGTCTCTGGATGCAAAGAGGGAAAAGTTTCAGAGCCCTGTGCAAGGAGAGCTCTGTGCAGCGCAGGAGAGCTGGAGCTCTTCCCTCCCTGCACCCAACCAGCTGCTGCTCCCCTTTCCCCTCCTTCCTGAGCCAACACAAATGGGGCCGTGGTTCTCGCTGACCTGAGTCTGGCACTGAGGAGTCTCCTGCACAGCGTTGCTCCCCTGCGCTGTGTAGCCAGTTACTCACCTCATTGCACAGTGGTGAGAGCAGGAGGTGCGTTGTTGTCCCCTCCTCCTTGATCCTGGCTCAGGAGGGTATTTTGCTTGTGCACGCGTGCACAAGAGATGAGCATAGGAAAAGGGCTGGAGCTCTTCCTGACACTGAGTTGCCTGTGAAGGACGCGGAACTGCAAAAGCAGGCGAGAGGCTCGTGCCTTCTCGGGGCGGAGAGCAGATTGCGAGATTGGGTCAGCAGGGAGCCGCAGGAGAGGGGCCAAATAGCCGCATGCGGCTCGTGAGCCGCAGTTTGCCAACCACTGGTCCAGCCTAAGAGCTGTAGTGGTGCAGTGGTTAGAGTGAAGTCCTGCAGGCTACTTCTTCTGCCTGCCAGCTGCCTGAAATTTGACAGTTCGAATCTCACCAGGCTCAAGGTTGACTACTCCTTCCATCCTTCAGAGGTGGTAAAATGAGGACTCAGATTGTTGGTGGCAATATGCTGACTCTGTAAACCGCTTAGAGAGGGCTGTAAAGCACTGTAAAGCGGTATATAAGTCTAAGTGCTATTGCTATAGAAGAGACAGATTTGGGGGACGACGACGACAGGATTACTGTCTTCCAGTACTTGAGGGGTTGTCACAGAGAAAAAGGGTTTGACTTATTCTCCAAAGCCCCAGAGGGCAGGATGAGAAGTAATGGGTGGAAGCTTATTAAAGAGATCCAACCTAGAAGTAAGGACAAATTGATGTTGTGGACGGTCCATCACTGGAGGTTTTCAAAAATAGACTGGACAACCATTTGACTGGGATGGTATATAAGACTCCTGCCTTGAGCAGGGGTCTGGACTAGAGGTTTTCCGAGGTCCTTTCCAGCCCTATGATTCTATGTTCTATGGATCAATTAGATGACTTTGTATGGGAATTGAAAGACGGATTTCTGTGTTCTGTCCAGTATATTAAGGAAATGTTTCTTCCCATTATTCCTGTTCTTCCCCTTCCTGAGATCTGAGGAAGATCTTTGCTCTGTATTCTTTTGACAGTTCTAGTAAAAATTTGAAAGGAAAAAGTTATTTATTTTCTTATTAACATACCAGTATCATGAAACATGTTTCTAATGAAGATCTACTTGACTGCTTTATTGGCGGCATTTCAGCAAGCAAAATGTGCTTTATGTAATACCTCTATTCATTTGAGTTACATTTGTCTTTGCTGTATAATAGCATTTGAGTAGCTGGCTGCCATTTCTGTTAAACAATCATGCTACACAGAATCACTTTTGGTGAGATGGGTGGCTATATAAATTAGATAAATTAGTAAAACATTAGCTGCTAATTTTTTATTAGTATGTTTCAAACATAAACCTTTCTTAATGAAGTGACAATTGCACAAGATCCAATCCAGCTCATCTATGTATATACAGTTGCACAGCAAAGGGGGATTTGTCATGAATGTTTGTATTAGTTAATATATTTTATTATTTATTAAACTTCTATGCCACCTATCTCATTGGGGCAACTCTAGCTGGCTTACAGTCATTCAATAAAAATACCATCTAAAACAATAAATAAAGACCGTAAATTTAAAATTCAGTTAAAATTCAATTGACCAAGATGGAGAGTAAGGGAGCAAAGTGTGCATAGGGAGGAGGTGGGGTCTATCTAATCCATGGGTATCAAATTCAATCGTGTCACAGGCCAGATTGTAATGTATCATGACATTTTTTGCCTTTGCTGAGCCGGGGTGGGCGTGGCCTGCACGTGAGGTATCCAACCCGTGGACTGCCAGTTTGACAGGCCTGATCTAATCCATTAGCCACTTCTAGGATGCAGCTCCCCTATTGGGGCCCCAAGCCAGTTAGCAGAGGCAGGTCTTCAAGCCCTTTCAGAAGGCCAAAAGGGTGGATGTGGAACTCATCTTGGGGTGCACAGCATTTCAGAAGGTCGGTGCCACAGCAGAAAAAGCTCTTCTCCTGCACCCCGCCAGCAGAAATTCCTTGATCAATGGTGTCCATGGCATGCCTCTTCTGCTGGTGCAGATGGGGTGGGCCAATCCCATTGGGCTGGGACAGTTCCTCAGATAGCCTGGACCTATACCATGAAGGGCTTTAAAGGGGATAACATCTTGAATTGGACCCCGAAGCAAACTGGTAACCAGTGCAGCTTACAGAACAGTGGTGTGACGTGGGCCACCCTAGGAGCCCCAAGAACTGCTTGTGTGCCTGTATTCTGTACCAGCTGAAGCTTTCAGATAATCTTCAAGGGTAGCCTCATGTAGACCATGTTGCAATAGTCCAACTGTGAGATGACCTGGGCTTGAATGACTCAGAGCAAGCACTCCCGGTCCAGGAAAGGGCCCAACTGGTACACAAAACGAAGTTGCACAAAGGTTGTCCTAGCCATGACTGTCACCTGCTCACTGAGCAGGAGTTCCGAGTCCAGGAGAACCTCCAAGTTGCACAGCATGTCTGTCTGTGGTAGTACAACCCCATCCAGAACTAAAGAAGTTAAAGTCTCGGAACCTGGAACTCCATGCACCTAAAGCCACTTGGTCTTACCAGAGTTCAGCCAAAGTCTGTTGTGCCCCATCTAGACCCCCACAGCCTCCAGGCACTGCAAGAAGGCAGCAACAGTATCACTTGGGTCACTGAGGCTGGAGATGTAAAGTTGAGTATCATCATCATACTGGTGGTACCTCATCGCATGGTGGCAGATGATCTCACCCAGCAGCTTCATGTAGATGTTAAAAAGGAGTGAAGAAAGTATTGTGGCACGCCACAATGGACCTCTCAGTCCACAAATTTTAAAGTTAAAGTTAAAATAAAAAATCAAAAAAACCAACAACAACCAGACACTAATAATAATAAAAGACGCGTACAAGAAAAATAACAAAATGACAACTATATCGTTCACACTGATATTGAACATAAATGTTCACCCTGATTGAATGTTGAAAAATATATTAAAAATAACTGATGCGTTCTCCCCTTACATAGCAAGTCTACAAGTGATTATAAACTTTCCCATCTATATTTAATAAAAAATGCTGTTACATAAACATATGTCCCTGATGTTCCATTTATATATTATATATATATATATATATATATATATA